TAGAACCTTGGATTCGAGCCCCGGTCTTCATTGCTTCTGCGATTCATGAATTAGTACAGAGTATCGTTGTGAAAAATAAGTGTGAAGGAAAGAGAAGAACGCCGACTATGCTTGTCACATAGCCGCTGTCGATTCCATTGTTAAAATTAATAGGGCACATCTGATTGATGACAATGGAAACAGAGATCAGCGGCCCACGAATAACGTCAAACGTTGAAAAGCGAGGGTGCTAGAATTTGACATTCCAACGGTTATACGTATAAGCACATTACCAAAAAGTTTTTAGTGCACAGGACGTAAAACAACACCACTCTTTTGGGTGAAAAAAAGCATGTTCGAACATTAACGAATATACTTTTGTAGACATATGCACCAGAAATACTAACTAGAAACTAATTGGAAACTGCTAGCTTTCAACAGCGCCGGTGAAAGCAACTTTTTACTTGTCAATATTTTCCGGATTTACGCACAAGTAGTAACGTTTTGCGCGCATGTACTACAAGAGCGAAAACACTACGGAGTTGTAGGTTGCTTAAACGGTCCCTTCGGCTACTAGAATCAAAGGGACGGTGTCACTACGGCGTCTAAATCCCGAGGATTGATAAGGAAAAAGTTATTCATGCCGGCGGTACTCAACGCTAGCAATCGATACTAACACAATTTTTATTTTTGGTATGATAAATTAATATTTTTGCGGTCTGCACATGATTCGTCACCACGAGGGCAGTTCGACGGTTCCGCTGAATCGCACTGCTGCCACAACAATAATGACATCGATGACGGTGATGATCATGAAAGAAAAGCAGAAACGGACGACCGCGTACACCGCGTGATATGTACGCCAAAAAAACAGCCGTGCCATCGGTATGACAAAGAAAGATGCTCGGTCAAAGGCCAGTCTCTGGTGGATGATCGCGACGGTGGCGGACGGGGAGGTAGAAGCAGAAGCAGAGGCGGGAGGAGGCAGAGGCAGACTGACTTCGACCGGGCGGCAAAAACATGTCTTGTCACAATCAGATCAATTAATGCATTAAAACAAAGAACATCACAACGGAACATCATTGCAAACAGCAAATGAGATGGGATAGTGCAAAGAACAAGTCGACGACGACAAGTGCAACGACTGTGATAAAGATCGCTGTACGGACCACGTTGGTGCATATGATCATAAACGTGCATGATGGGACCGAGTGACGATCGGGTGACACGCCTGCGCAGAAATGACAGAAATGCGTTATCGTTGTAAACAATCGTTCCCCGTCGTCCAGCTCATTATGTCTGATATCAAAACTTGAACAGGGAACGAACGCTATCCACCCCCGTCATACAATCCGCTGCAAAACTTTACGAAAGAGGGTTACAGGACGGAGATACCCTGTCGTGACTTGAAAGGGGCGGCTTCGTGGCAATGAAGCGATCGATGCAGCCAATATTTACACAACAGATTCTGCAAGGACTAGCGACGACGATAACCATCGCCAGAAACCATATCGACACAGTGCATGTTTTGCCGCGTGTAGATGGGAGATTGAGGACACTGAGAACAGATCGTCGGGCTAAAAATTCTGTCCACCTCTTCACATGCTCCGCAGGCCGCAGGTCTTCGTCCGACTAACTTCAAGAATGGCAAACGAGACGGAAGAGTTGTATGCAAAATCGACAGAAATATTCTGCGTAATAGCATCGGTTTCGATCACCAAACAGCCGCCAACAAATACAAATCTTCATCGCTGTCTGCCATTATACAACTGTGCCAGTGTGATACAATCAGCATTTTGTCTTAAAACTATCTCAAATGCAACAGTACTATGTAAATAACTGTCTGCTTCACAAAAATAGCTGCATTTTGCACCGCTCGCCTCAGAAACCAAACACAGAATACTGATATCATATATAAAAATTGACGATTTGACGTCAAAAAACTGAACGCTGCACAACCAAAGGACAAGCACGATTCAGAAGTGGATTTAGAACGATAGATCACGCCCACGTGCTACAACTAGCAATTCAGATATGGAACAAATATCGCCTTCGTATTCGCTTGAGATTAGTTATTTATGACAAGGCTTTAGAATTTCGACTCAATCTACATCCGTTCTGTGACCAATTCCTTCAGAAGCGAGGGAATCGAGCAAGCATGCAAAGACCTTATCGAGGTGATTTAGAAAAGTGCAACTGCCAGTAAGAAAGTTCGCAAAAGCGCAGCACAAAGTTCAAAATCAAAAGGAGCGTTCAATGGGAACGCACAACATTACGCAAGTTGTGCAGCGCAGCTGTAGAAGAAGTTGTCAAGGCACACAGGTGAAAAAATCCCGTGTTTAACAAAAAATTGCATTACTTAAGTCACGTGCAATTTGCAGACAATATTTTAATCCTCCACAGCCACGCGAAGAGCTGAACAACGCCAGCGTCAAAGCAGGACTGAAAATAAACCAAAACACTCAGTTTATGCATAGGAAATACGTGACACCACGACATTTAGAAATTAATGGACTAAGACTTGAAGAGGTGTAATACTTTTCTATATGAGAGCCAATTTGTGCACTGAAATCAACAGAAGAATAAAAATGACAAGTAGCGCTTTTAGAAGAACGAAAATGCTCCTAGTTCTGTTTGAAAGGTAAAGTTTTCTACCAGCGCCTGCTCCCACGCTGCCGCATAAGTGTGAAACGTGGACCCTAAGCCTGAAAACTATTCATAAACCGCAGACGACGCACGGAATGATGTACGATGGGAATTGTGAAAAGGATATAGGAAAACGAATGAGTGGGTATAAGCTCAAACAAGAGTGTGCGATGTCATTGCCCGAGTGAAGAAGTTAAAGTGGCAATGCGCAGGGCACGCTGTTAGAAGAACCGGCCATTGCTGGACCAGTTTGAAACTAGACTAGATTCCAAGAGAGAACAAACGGCCAGCAGGAAGACTTCAGGATGAACTAAAGAAGCACGTTGGATCAAGATAAAAAAATCTCAAAAATACATGTTTGTCGGAAAGTCAAAGCCATCAAAGCCTAGTGATGATGATTCTCTATTTTAATATTACATACAAACAGAAATACATAATTTACATATTTACAAGTTTTGCAACAAGTGTATGATGCATGGCAAATTTACAGATATACTTGAAATTCCAGTTTTCAGGTCCCCTGGTGAAAGCCAACATTATTCAGTCATCATACATGACAGCTTTTCTTAAATTTTCGTCAGCTGTTGCATCAAATCAGAAGTTAGGCAGTTTCAACGGTCAGAGGCGAGGTATAAGTTCAATGACTACCATGTAAGTAGTTACCGATGAGGTGCGTATTTTTACTTACCTTCAAGACAGGATTTACATTATACTCGGTGACTGACCGACGAGGTATCCACTACCATGAATCCACAGAGCATTCGGTGTTGATTCTCGGTGTTGTTTGCTGCCGTTATTACTGCTTATTAATACATAGTGTTTGGTGCACTGATGCCAAGAGTTCATTGCTTTGTGCATTCATCAGTTTTGGCGTTGCCGAAAACTGGATTTCGTTGTCGCATCGCATAAAGCTGTAAACGATACTGTCCGACTAAAAACTGCACGTTACCACTTTCGATCCAGGTGGTCCACACATTGCGGTCTACAACGCCGTCCGCCGATGAGCCAAAAAGCTAAAGCTGAACACAACCATCAAATGATCATAACCGTTACTCTTAACGACGATGTTATCATCATCATATGACGTACAAGGTGAAAGACCCATACTAATGATGTCTGACACTTTAACTCCTCAGAATGATTTAGGCGATATTGGTTCCCGTGGCAGATGTCGAATACCTCGTCACAAGCAAGTTCACATACACCATTAGCTCTATGGAGCGATGCTGGTCTCCGACCGGTCTGCGATCGTTGTTTGCCTCCCAGAGCAGAATGGTTTTGAATAAGTCTGCATCGTCTCGGTGGACGATTCTGTTAATCATCACAGAAGCAGGTCCCTGATTTCGTCAGACGGCATCCTCCAACATCTTTTCGTTCTTCATTCGATGGAATCATCGCACTTTCAGAATGTTCCGCAGGCAGCGCTGCTGAAGAGTGTCCATCAGCATTTCATGGCGCTTTATAAAAGAGCTGATGTTTCAAGGCTGTAGATAAGAACGGAAAAGAAGGCGTTCTACAGTATGGTGATCTTTGTTGCTGTCCAGAGAGACCGATCTTGCCATACTTCACAAGTTCGCAGATGCCAGCCCTCAGCGCCGCTCTACTTACAAACTGCATTATCCCTCTCTCGCCAGTACAGGGCTGAGGGCTGACGAACTTGAAGTTCTCGATCTCGGCCATGTTCGTTTGGGTGGCTCATTAGTCGAGTCGGGTGCAAGCAAGATCTTCATATTGGTGGGGCAAACTTCTAAGCCAATCGTCGAGGCCACCTTGCACACTTCTCGAGTTAGTGCCAGCAAGCCATGGGCAGAATCGCTCAAGAGTACAATGTCGTCAGCGTACTCGAGATCTGTTATGAGTACTGTTAATTGCCTTCGGCTGAGTCCGTTGTCTCGTAGTAAATCATTCAACATTGTTGGGGACGACGTTTCTCAGCATCACATAATCCACCATCTTGTTGA